CGCCGCCGCGCGTGCATGTCGAAATCGGTGAAATCCAATGGTTCAAAGTTGTTCGTCCTTACGATGCGAGTTGACTGCAGTCCGTATCTAACTCATTTGCAGATTATCATACGCACCTATGAGGGAATCGGACTCAAATGACATTAGTTAAAGCCTTTCCGTCCCCTCCACGATTATGGTGGCCGCTTCGCTCAGGAGATCCTCAACATTCTGAAAATCGAACGCGCCCCTCACGAAGATCGCGACGCCACGGCCCAAAAACACAAGGGATTACCAACATGTCAACATGAAGCCTTCAAACGCGCAGTGGTTCTGCAATGCTTTGGACGTCCCTCTTAGAACAATAGCCGTGTGGTGTGAGACATCCCCCCAAACTTGGAACCCGATGTATTCAAAGTTGACCTCATATCTTTCAAAATGACGATTTCGTTCGAGACATCCTCCAACATGTGGTTTCGGAACTTCTTGTCAATGCAAGCGCATTGTGTAGAACACCCTCCTACGCCAAGCGCAGCGGAAGGTGTGGCAACCCCACCTGCATTCGACTGCGATCCCGCTGTTGCACCTCCCTCCCAACAGCCCCTCTGGTGATCATCTGAACCCTCCTTCTCTCAAGTTTCCTCTGCTACTGCATCTCCTCCCCACTCCTTCTATTATTTTCCTCCTCGGACCCGGCTTCATAATCCACATCTTGTCCATGTTCTGAAATGCTTAAGTGCTGCATTGTCTGCATGGGCCTGGGCACACGCGTATCACTTGTATCTCAACACGTGGTTAATCAAAGACTGTCGAAACACAAGTGGTTCACCAACCAATGGTTATTAGAAATCTGCATGTGCGAACTCGCGGAATTCGGGGGGACACCACTAATGGTTTGACTATTTCGCCAAAACTGGCCATTCGGGCCACTGGCGCGCGCATGTCTAAAACATTCAACCACCACCATGCGCCCATTAACCTTTCAAAGTGATACCATGTGAATCACACTCGCACGGTTCCGCGCGCACACGCCGAGATGTGAGGATGCCCTGCATCCTGCAGGCGCGCACTTTCTCATCATACTCACCACAACAATCGTCGTCAGCGTCATTGATGTCATCGTATCGTCACCGCCATTCAGCATCCATCATTCACCGTCCATGATCATCATCAACATCATCCTCACCACCATCATCATCAGCATCGTCATTAGCATCATCATCATCAGCATCATCATCGTCATCACCATCGCGATCATTATCATCATCATCATCATCATCATCATCATCATCATCATCATCATCATCATCATCATCATCATCATCATCAACATCGTTCATCCGCATCCTAATCATCAGCGGTATCACCATCGTCGGGATCATCACCATCGCCGTCATCGTCGTCACGTCGCAGCCGTCACCGTTGTCGATGTCATCGTCGTATCGCGCCCGCCCATGTCACCGACCCACACTGAAGTGCCCGTGCGCCAGCGCGGCCCGTAGGACGCGTTGGGAAGTTCAAATCGGTAAGCGCCACCGCGGCCGCACCATGTGTGCCAAGCCAGCTGGCCAACCTGCGCACGCACGGGCGCGATCCAGCGCGGCCACAAAGATGCGCTAGCAACTGCCAATTAGCAACCGCAATCGTAGCCGAAGGGATTTGCGAGATAAGTTGCGGTTGCGAGGGCGGGATGATTGTGCAAACAGTGCAATTGACACCTCACTGTTGACTTGACCATTGCCACCGCATAGATTGCACCAAGCAGCTTCCACCGCTTAGTTCGCACCACATATTGCACATCATGGGCTGCGTCCTACAGATTGCATCACATATAGTAGACTGTAGTTATTTTTTCTGACTCGGCCGGCTGCAGGGTCTCTGACTCGCGCCCCAATCAAGCGACAGGTCGCAAGCAAGGGCGCACCGGCAGGGTTGGGAAGTCGCTCGCTGGTGCCGAATCGAATTCCTCCTCAGGCTATTCCGAGGAAGAGTCGTGTGAAGGGCACACTGGGCACCTGAGCGCCTGGCATGCCCCCACGTTCGGCGGAAAAGGAATTAGTTATATTATGTATTCATGATCCGAGAGCGGCCACTTGCGGGCCTCTCTACCCTTCACAGACGCCGAGCGCGCGGGCGACGCATGCTCAGCGGGGGGGGCACTCGGGGCACCCCCCGCCGACGCCGCAGAAGCGGCACTGCGGCGAGGCCGGGGGCCCCCCCGCGGCCTTGCAGCAGACCCCGGCGCCGGAGGGCGAGCAGCCCTCCGTGTCCAAGAAGCAGAGGATGTCGGGGTTCCCGCAGGTGGCCGCCGGCGTGGTCGTGCACCCGAGCCCCATCGTCGTGGTCGTGGTCGTGGTCGTGGTCGTGGTCGTGGTCGTGGTCGTGGTCGTGGTCGTGGTCGTGGTCGTCGTCGTGGGGCACTCGGGGCAACCCCCGCCGACGCCGCAGAAGCGGCACTGCGGCGGGGCGGGGGGCCCCCCCGCGGCCTTGCAGCAGACCCCGGCGCCGGAGGGCGAGCAGCCCTCCGTGTCCAGGAAGCAGAGGATGTCCGGGTTCCCGCAGGTGGCCGCGGGCGTGGTCGTGCACCCCAGCGCCTGCGTCGTGTTGGCCCTGTGCTCGCTCACCCTGGCCGCGGCTGCGCTCTGCAGCAGCGCGGAGGCCTCCTCGCCCTCCGCCGGGCACACGCCGTCCGGGCACGCGCTCTCGGCCGCCGCCGCCCCCAGCATCACGAGGGCCAACGCCGCCGCGAAGCGAGCCATGATGCGGGAGGTGCTGCTCGAGTCTGTCGCTTCGGAGGCTGGAGCCGCTCGGTGCGTCCTGGGCCAATACAGTAGACTGCACAGTATATATTGCATTCCATGAGTTGGATTCTGCAGCGTGCGCACCGAGAGTTGAATAACCCACTGTTCACATCAGACTTCCATCGAAACGCAATTTCGAACCTCTGCGTACTTCGAGTCTTGAAGCCCTCATCATCCTCCCCATACCTCGGAGACGCACTGACCCAAATCAGCGCTATCCCAAGTCAGCCATGGCCGTAACGGGAATCCAAGCAGGCGACATGGTAGCTTCCAAACACCCTTGTCAGCGGAGGGGGGGGTCCAGGTCAGCCAGAGGGGATCAGATGGGATTGGCTGACTCCCGTTAGCGATGACCCCGATTATGTGCGCCCCGAAACCCACCCCTGCTCCTCTTCTCAGTTCCTGCGCCTCCTCATCAGCATCTTCCTTCTCCTCGTGGAGCCCCCCTTCCTTTCGCCCTCCTGCTCCATCTCTTGCTGCTTCTCCTTCCCACTCTTCTCGTTGTCTTCGTCGTCATTGTTGCTGACATCGTCGTCGTTCTCCTCCTCCTCCTCCTCCTCCTCCTCCTCCTCCTCCACTCCCGCTCATCCAATCCATTATCCTCCTTTCTTCCCTCCTCCTCCTCCTCCTCCTCCTCCTCATTCTTCTTCTTCTCCTCCTCCTCCTCCTCCTCCTCCTCCTCCTCCTCCTCATTCTTCTCCTCCTCCTCCTCCTCCTCCTCCTTCTCTTCTCTTTCTCCTCCTCCTCCTCCTCCTCCTTGTCCTCCTCCTCCTTCTCCTCCTCCTCTCCTCCTCATTATTCTCCTCCTCCTCCTCCTCCTCCTCCTCCTCCTCCTCCTCCTCCTCCTCCTCTCCTCCTCCTCCTCCTCCCTCCTCCTCCTCCTCCTCCTCCTCCTCCTCCTCCTCCTCCTCCTCCTCCTCCTCCTCCTCCTCCTCCTCCTCCCCGTGCCCTCCTCTGCCCTCCCGTCGGCTCTCGCCTCGTGGCCGCTCTGCTCCGCTCTCCAGTCCAAAACCCATCCGCCCGCCTTTCCTTCAATCTCCCCATCTCCCGCTCTCCAGCTCACCGGAACGCCGACGTCGTGGTTTGTTCAATTCGCGGGCTCGGGACCCCTTGCCGGGGACCAGGTTCTTCACCCCGTGGGCGCTCCTTACTTTGATGGTCACCGTGTCCGACACCAGCCCCCAAAAGGCGGCGAAATGACGAAAGACCTCCGCCAAGATGTTTGCACGGCGCCTGGAGACAGGGGTCCCTCCACCGCATGAGGCCTCCTAGATGGGGTCCGAGTAGATGGGGTCGGAGGATCGCACAGCATTGCCAATGCATCGCAGATGCATCGGCGATGTATCGGCGACGTGGGCGATGCATCAGCGCCATCGGCGTGAAGAACTCTGGCTCCACATCGAGCCGCCTCGTCGTTGCATCGTCGATGCGGAGCGGTCCGTCGACCTCATCTACTCGGACCCCACTTGGGAGGCCTCTATCGCCTCTCCTTCCCTCTCCATCCCTCTGCGCCCCCGCCGCACTCGCACTCGCTCGTGCGCGAGCCCGAACTTGGGCGTTCGACGGGGCCCACATACCGCGTAAGCTCACACCAGATTGATTGCACAGGGTGGAATGCACCAATTTGCATGTACCATATAGCTTCCACCGCATAACTTGCACCACGTAGCTTGCGCCACGTAGCTACTTGGGCCCGGTAGCTCGCAACACATGGATTGGACTACTGCCACGTAGCTTACACCACAAAGCTTGCACGATATAGGTCACACCACATACAGCTCACCGCATGGACTGCACCACACAGCTTGCACATACACTGCAAGAGTTCACTGTTCCGGACTCACGCGGGCAAGAATGACAAGAGTGCTGTTTCGGGCTCAGGAGGCGAACTGCCGCCTTGGCTCGCAGCGGCGGCCTTGGCACGGAGCGCAGGGGGCCCTGCTGGACCCCTGCGCCTTCCCAAGGGCCAACCTCCCGAAGCCGAGCCGTCCTCTGGCGGGTCCGGGCCCAGGGGAGGGCCCCCGGCTACAGTCATCGCGCTACCAGAAGCAACGCTGAATAAGGAACGGAAGGGCTTCTCTGGCCCCTGGGCGGCCCGAAAATCGGTGCCCCTCTAGAGCCCAAGCTGATCCTTACTCCAACGTCTTCACTGTATACGCCCGGAGACCGGGAAAGGCCTCCACGGTGGAACCCCCTTCCCTCCAGGACCCCCCACTTTTTTGGGCCTCCGCGGCAACGCCACATGAGCCTCTCCAAAGGCGACCGCTCGACTGAGCAGCGAGCAGCGAGCAGTGATGGCGACAGGAGCGACGGGCACACAGTTTTTTTTCTGACTCGGCCGGCTGCAGGGTCTCTGACTCGCGCCCCAATCAAGCGACAGGTCGCAAGCAAGGGCGCACTGGCAGGGTTGGGAAGTCGCTCGCTGGTGCCGAATCGAATTCCTCCTCAGGCTATTCCGAGGAAGAGTCGTGTGAAGGGCACACTGGGCACCTGAGCGCCTGGCATGCCCCCACGTTCGGCGGAAAAGGGATTAGTTATATCATGTATTCATGATCCGAGAGCGGCCACTTGCGGGCCTCTCTACCCTTCACAGACGCCGAGCGCGCGGGCGACGCATGCTCAGCGGGGGGGGCACTCGGGGCACCCCCCGCCGACGCCGCAGAAGCGGCACTGCGGCGAGGCCGGGGGCCCCCCCGCGGCCTTGCAGCAGACCCCGGCGCCGGAGGGCGAGCAGCCCTCCGTGTCCAAGAAGCAGAGGATGTCCGGGTTCCCGCAGGTGGCCGCCGGCGTGGTCGTGCACCCGAGCCCCATCGTCGTGGTCGTGGTCGTGGTCGTGGTCGTGGTCGTGGTCGTGGTCGTGGTCGTGGTCGTGGTCGTGGTCGTGGTCGTGGTCGTGGTCGTCGTCGTGGGGCACTCGGGGCACCCCCCGCCGACGCCGCAGAAGCGGCACTGCGGCGGGGCGGGGGGCCCCCCCGCGGCCTTGCAGCAGACCCCGGCGCCGGAGGGCGAGCAGCCCTCCGTGTCCAGGAAGCAGAGGATGTCCGGGTTCCCGCAGGTGGCCGCGGGCGTGGTCGTGCACCCCAGCGCCTGCGTCGTGTTGGCCCTGTGCTCGCTCACCCTGGCCGCGGCTGCGCTCTGCAGCAGCGCGGAGGCCTCCTCGCCCTCCGCCGGGCACACGCCGTCCGGGCACGCGCTCTCGGCCGCCGCCGCCCCCAGCATCACGAGGGCCAACGCCGCCGCGAAGCGAGCCATGATGCGGGAGGTGCTGCTCGAGTCTGTCGCTTCGGAGGCTGGAGCCGCTCGGTGCGTCCTGGGCCAATACAGTAGACTGCACAGTATATATTGCATTCCATGAGTTGGATTCTACAGCGTGCGCACCGAGAGTTGAATAACCCACTGTTCACATCAGACTTCCATCGAAACGCAATTTCGAACCTCTGCGTACTTCGAGTCTTGAAGCCCTCATCATCCTCCCCATACCTCGGAGACGCACTGACCCAAATCAGCGCTATCCCAAGTCAGCCATGGCCGTAACGGGAATCCAAGCAGGCGACATGGTAGCTTCCAAACACCCTTGTCAGCGGAGGGGGGGGTCCAGGTCAGCCAGAGGGGATCAGATGGGATTGGCTGACTCCCGTTAGCGATGACCCCGATTATGTGCGCCCCGAAACCCACCCCTGCTCCTCTTCTCAGTTCCTGCGCCTCCTCATCAGCATCTTCCTTCTCCTCGTGGAGCCCCTATTCCTTTCGCCCTCCTGCTCCATCTCTTGCTGCTTCTCCTTCCCACTCTTCTCGTTGTCTTCGTCGTCATTGTTGCTGACATCGTCGTCGTTCTCCTCCTCCTCCTCCTCCTCCTCCTCCTCCTCCTCCACTCCCGCTCATCCAATTCATTATCCTCCTTTCTTCCCTCCTCCTCCTCCTCCTCCTCCTCCTCTCCTCCTCCTAATTCTCCCCCTTCTCTTTCTCCTCCTCCTCCTTCTCCTCCTCCTCCTTCTCCTCCTCCTCTCCTCATTATTCTCCTCCTCCTCCTCCTCCTCCTCCTCCTCTCCTCCTCCTCCTCCTCCTCCTCCTCCTCCTCCTCCTCCTCCTCCTCCTCCCTCCTCCTCCTCCTCCTCCTCCTCCTCCTCCTCCTCCTCCTCCTCCTCCTCCTCCTCCTTTCCTCCTCCCCGTGCCCTCCCCTGCCCTCCCGTCGGCTCTCGCCTCGTGGCCGCTCTGCTCCGCTCTCCAGTCCAAAACCCATCCGCCCGCCTTTCCTCCAATCTCCCCATCTCCCGCTCTCCAGCTCACCGGAACGCCGACGTCGTGGTTTGTTCAATTCGCGGGCTCGGGACCCCTTGCCGGGGACCAAGTTCTTCACCCCGTGGGCGCTCCTTACTTTGATAGTCACCGTGTCCGACACCAGCCCCCAAAAGGCTGCGAAATGACGAAAGACCTCCGCCAAGATGTTTGCACGGCGCCTGGAGACAGGGGTCCCTCCACCGCATGAGGCCTCCTAGATGGGGTCCGAGTAGATGGGGTCGGAGGATCGCACAGCATTGCCAATGCATCGCAGATGCATCGGCGATGTATCGGCGACGTGGGCGATGCATCAGCGCCATCGGCGTGAAGAACTCTGGCTCCAGTCCATCCGAGCTCTCCAGCTCACCGGAACGCCGACGTCGTGGTTTGTTCAATTCGCGGGCTCGGGACCCCTTGCCGGGGACCAAGTTCTTCACCCCGTGGGCGCTCCTTACTTTGATAGTCACCGTGTCCGACACCAGCCCCCAAAAGGCTGCGAAATGACGAAAGACCTCCGCCAAGATGTTTGCACGGCGCCTGGAGACAGGGGTCCCTCCACCGCATGAGGCCTCCTAGATGGGGTCCGAGTAGATGGGGTCGGAGGATCGCACAGCATTGCCAATGCATCGCAGATGCATCGGCGATGTATCGGCGACGTGGGCGATGCATCAGCGCCATCGGCGTGAAGAACTCTGGCTCCACATCGAGCCGCCTCGTCGTTACATCGTCGATGCGGAGCGGTCCGTCGACCTCATCTACTCGGACCCCACTTGGGAGGCCTCTATCACCTCTCCTTCCCTCTCCATCCCTCTGCGCCCCCGCCGCACTCGCACTCGCTCGTGCGCGAGCCCGAACTTGGGCGTTCGACGGGGCCCACGTTGCTTATACCACGTAAGCTCACACCAGATTGATTGCACCACATGGAATGCACCAATTTGCATGTACCATATAGCTTCCACCGCATAACCTGCACCACGTAGCTTGCGCCACGTAGCTACTTGGGCCCGGTAGCTCGCAACACATGGATTGGACTACTGCCACGTAGCTTACACCACAAAGCTTGCACGATATAGGTCACACCACATACAGCTCACGGCATGGACTGCACCACACAGCTTGCACATACACTGCAAGAGTTCACTGTTCCGGACTCTCGCGGGCAAGAATGACATGAGTGCTGTTTCGGGCTCAGGAGGCGCACTGCCGCCTTGGCTCGCAGCGGCGGCCTTGGCACGGAGCGCAGGGGGCCCTGCTGGACCCCTGCGCCTTCCCCAGGGCCAACCTCCCGAAGCCGAGCCGTCCTCTGGCGGGTCCGGGCCCAGGGGAGGGCCCCGGGCTACAGTCATCGCGCTACCAGAAGCAACGCTGAATAAGGAACGGAAAGACTTCTCTGGCCCCTGGGCGGCCCGAAAATCGGTGCCCCTCTAGAGCCCAAGCTGGTCCTTACTCCAACGTCTTCACTGTATACGCCCGGAGACCGGGAAAGGCCTCCACGGTGGAACCCCCTTCCCTCCAGGACCCCCCACTTTTTTGGGCCTCCGCGGCAACGCCACATGAGCCTCTCCAAAGGCGACCGCTCGACTGAGCAGCGAGCAGCGAGCAGTGATGGCGACAGGAGCGACGGGCACACAGTTTTTTTTCTGACTCGGCCGGCTGCAGGGTCTCTGACTCGCGCCCCAATCAAGCGACAGGTCGCAAGCAAGGGCGCACCGGCAGGGTTGGGAAGTCGCTCGCTGGTGCCGAATCGAATTCCTCCTCAGGCTATTCCGAGGAAGAGTCGTGTGAAGGGCACACTGGGCACCTGAGCGCCTGGCATGCCCCCACGTTCGGCGGAAAAGGGATTTGTTATATCATGTATTCATGATCCGAGAGCGGCCACTTGCGGGCCTCTCTACCCTTCACAGACGCCGAGCGCGCGGGCGACGCATGCTCAGCGGGGGGGGCACTCGGGGCACCCCCCGCCGACGCCGCAGAAGCGGCACTGCGGCGAGGCCGGGGGCCCCCCCGCGGCCTTGCAGCAGACCCCGGCGCCGGAGGGCGAGCAGCCCTCCGTGTCCAAGAAGCAGAGGATGTCCGGGTTCCCGCAGGTGGCCGCCGGCGTGGTCGTGCACCCGAGCCCCATCGTCGTGGTCGTGGTCGTGGTCGTGGTCGTGGTCGTGGTCGTGGTCGTGGTCGTGGTCGTGGTCGTGGTCGTGGTCGTGGTCGTGGTCGGTCACTCGGGGCACCCCCGCCGACGCCGCAGAAGCGGCACTGCGGCGGGGCGGGGGGCCCCCCCGCGGCCTTGCAGCAGACCCCGGCGCCGGAGGGCGAGCAGCCCTCCGTGTCCAGGAAGCAGAGGATGTCCGGGTTCCCGCAGGTGGCCGCGGGCGTGGTCGTGCACCCCAGCGCCTGCGTCGTGTTGGCCCTGTGCTCGCTCACCCTGGCCGCGGCTGCGCTCTGCAGCAGCGCGGAGGCCTCCTCGCCCTCCGCCGGGCACACGCCGTCCGGGCACGCGCTCTCGGCCGCCGCCGCCCCCAGCATCACGAGGGCCAACGCCGCCGCGAAGCGAGCCATGATGCGGGAGGTGCTGCTCGAGTCTGTCGCTTCGGAGGCTGGAGCCGCTCGGTGCGTCCTGGGCCAATACAGTAGACTGCACAGTGTATAGATTGCATTCCATGAGTTGGATTCTACAGCGTGCGCACCGAGAGTTGAATAACCCACTGTTCACATCAGACTTCCATCGAAACGCAATTTCGAACCTCTGCGTACTTCGAGTCTTGAAGCCCTCATCATCCTCCCCATACCTCGGAGACGCACTGACCCAAATCAGCGCTATCCCAAGTCAGCCATGGCCGTAACGGGAATCCAAGCAGGCGACATGGTAGCTCCCAAACCCCTTGTCAGCGGAGGGGGGGGGTCCAGGTCAGCCAGAGGGGATCAGATGGGATTGGCTGACTCCCGTTAGCGATGACCCCGATTATGTGCGCCCCGAATCCCACCCCTGCTCCTCTTCCCAGTTCCTGCGCCTCCTCATCAGCATCTTCCTTCTCCTCGTGGAGCCCCCCTTCCTTTCGCCCTCCTGCTCCATCTCTTCCTGCTTCTCCTTCCCACTCTTCTCGTTGTCTTCGTCGTCATTGCTGCTGACATCGTCGTCGTTCTCCTCCTCCTCCTCCTCCTCCTCCTCCTCCTCCTCCTCCTCCTCCTCCACTCCCGCTCATCCAATTCATTATCCCCCTTTCTTCCCTCCTCCTCCTCCACCTCATTCTTCTTCTCCTCCTCCTCCTCCTCCGCCTCCTCCTCCTCCTCCTCCTCCTCATTCTTCTCCTCCTCCTCCTTCTCCCACTTCTCTTTCTCCTCCTCCTCCTCCTCCTTCTCCCTCCTCCTTCTCCTCCTCCTCTCTCTCCTCATTATTCTCCCCTCTCCTCCTCTCCTCTCCTCCTCCTCCTCCTCCCCCTCCTCCTCCTCCTCCTCCTCCTCCTCCTCCTCCTCCTCCTCCTCCTCCTCCTCCTCCTTTCCTCCTCCCCGTGCCCTCCCCTGCCCTCCCGTCGGCTCTCGCCTCGTGGCCGCTCTGCTCCGCTCTCCAGTCCAAAACCCATCCGCCCGCCTTTCCTCCAATCTCCCCATCTCCCGCTCTCCAGCTCACCGGAACGCCGACGTCGTGGTTTGTTCAATTCGCGGGCTCGGGACCCCTTGCCGGGGACCAGGTTCTTCACCCCGTGGGCGCTCCTTACTTTGATGGTCACCGTGTCCGACACCAGCCCCCAAAAGGCGGCGAAATGACGAAAGACCTCCGCCAAGATGTTTGCACGGCGCCTGGAGACAGGGGTCCCTCCACCGCATGAGGCCTCCTAGATGGGGTCCGAGTAGATGGGGTCGGAGGATCGCACAGCATTGCCAATGCATCGCAGATGCATCGGCGATGTATCGGCGACGTGGGCGATGCATCAGCGCCATCGGCGTGAAGAACTCTGGCTCCACATCGAGCCGCCTCGTCGTTGCATCGTCGATGCGGAGCGGCCCGTGAACCTCATCTACTCGGACCCCACTTGGGAGGCCTCTATCACCTCTCCTTCCCTCTCCATCCCTCTGCACCCCCGCCGCACTCGCACTCGCTCGTGCGCGAGCCCGAACTTGGGC